GTTCAATGGAGTCAGTGACCAAAGTCTGTTCAGCGAACTCCCCGACGAACCGGAGAGTTACGACTTGCGTGTCGTGACAACGATCAGGCAACCTTGGGGGCCCTCAAAAGGAGGGGTAGCCTTACACGCCTGAAGTTGAAAATAGGTATTTCTGGGCTTCCGGATACCAATTTACTTTTGGCGCCTTCCTACTCCAAGAATCGATATGTTCCTGCTTTGTTTTGCTATTCTCTGGCAGGGATGGAACCCAACCTACTTCATCTGTGTTTACCTATTTCTTCCGACCGAAGTGTAATTAGCATGGACCCCTCTTGCGGCGCTTTTGGGGCACTCCGGCCGTCTTGGGACCCTCTTGGGCTCCTCTTGGGGCTCCATTGGAGGGTGGAGCCACCTGGAGGCCTCGGAGGGCCGTCGGAAGCGAAATGGCGAGACGGCAACCGACGCTGTTGCTTCCTCCTCCTCCTCCTCGTCCTCCTCTTCCTCCTCCTCCTTAAGGCTTTAAAAGGGTTTGGGCCTCTTGGTGCCTCCTTGGGAAGCTCTGGGTCAATTGGAACCGTCTTGGTGCGGTGTTGGGACCTCTTGGGGCATGTTGGAAAACGTCTTTGAACTATCTTGGGTAATCTTGAGCCATCTTGGAGGCCATCTTCGGCTCCCAGAGGCCCTCTTGGAGCCACCTCGAGCCATCTTGGGAGCTCTAACCGATCGCGCCGTCCCCAGTCCAGACCCAGGGGAGGGTGCAGGGAGAGGGGTCAAGCTACCCACAAGCAACAAACCGTCTCGCTCACTCCCACCCGCCCTCATCAACTCAGGAGTCGTACCCGAGTCTCAGCATGGACAGGGGCCACCATCGACAACCATCGGGAACCAATGCAGACGCCGGCCAGGTGCGCGAAGCCCGCGAGTTGCGCCGCACATGCCAGCTGCGCCACGAGTACCAGGTGCGCCTCATCGGGCAATATGTCGACTCTGCCACCGTCCTAAGTGACGGTAGGTTTGCGAGCATTGTGGACTTTGCGTGGGTGTGCATTCGCAATCATTTTGCTTTTGTTTTGGGCTTTCTCACAGCAGGCAGCATGGAGCTCCCCCCCCGCCGTCCCTGGCGAACATGAACCTTATATTTTCTGTTGGAGGGAATGGTGGGCCTGCACGCAACAGGTAATATGCCGGCACCCCCGCCATCCCTGTCAAGAGCCCCTGCGAAGTGATCGCGGGGCGTCCGCGCATGATCCAGATTTTGGTGCAACGTGTTTATTCTTAGTGTGTGTGTTGTTTACAAAGGATGGGCGGAGGGGTTGGCATTGCATGGAGCAGGCAAGATGTTGCCCCCCCTCCCCCAGACATCCCTGTCAAAAACAATGCGAAGTGATCACGGGGCGTCCGCGCATAATCCAGATTTTGGTGCAAAGGGCAGATTTTACTGTCTTTGTTGCAAAGGGGCGGTGGTGGGGTGTTTTTGGCATTGCGCATAGCAGGCAATATGACAGCACCCTGCCGCCCCTGTCGAAAACCAATGCAAAGTGATCGCGGGGCGTTCGCGCATGGTCCAGATGATGGTGCACAGATTCTTGGTTCTTTGCAAGGGATGGCGGGGGGGGTGTTGTTATGGTCCAGGCTTCTCGCCGGTCGGGTGGGGAAGGGGAAGGGTGCGTATATGAAGAAGGAACAGTCATCAAGTTCCCAATGAGAACGCCGCAGGCTGTCTCGCTCACTGCCACCCGCCCTCCGTTAGGCAGGGGCGGGCACCGACAATCGGGAACCAATGCAGACGCCGGCCAGGTGCGCGAGGCCCGCGAGGTGCGCTGTCTTTGGCACGGTGTCGACCCCCCCTCCGTCCCTGTCAGCAAACAGTGCAAAGTGACGGCGGGTTTGCGAGCATTGTTGGACTGTGGGCGTGCACTCGCAATCATTTTGAACTCGTCTTTGACAGGGATGGTGGGCCTTCACACAGCAGGCATCATGGGACCTGCCCCCCACCGCCCCTGGCAAACATGAACTTTATATTTATGTTCAAAGGAATGGTGGGCCTGCATGCAGCAGGCAATATGCAAGCACCCCCGCTGTCCCTGTCAGCAACAAATGTGAAGTGATCGCGGGGCGTCCGCGCATGATCCGAGGTGATTGCAAGGCATGGTTGGGGAGCTGGCATCGCTGTCACTAGGCAATGACAATGCCCACCCCCCACGTTTCTTCAAAAATCCCATTTCGACGTGATCACGGCGCGTCCTCGCATGATCGAAATTTTGGTGCAAAGTGTTATTCACATAGTTTGGGACGATGGAGGTGTGGGCATTGCGCGCAGCAGGCATTATGACGGCACCCACAAACCAATGCAGAGTGACCGCGGGGCGTCCGCGCATGATCCAGATGTTGGTGCACGGTGTATTTGCATTCTTGTGCGCAGGGGATGGTTGGGGGGGGCCCTCATGGTCCTGGGTTTGTCGCCAGTCGGATGAGGGACGGGGTGCATTCTCACAAGGAGCAGTGATGAAGCCCTCCCCGAGGGGGAAGGAGGGTTGGCGGAGGAAACGCTCTAGACCATTCGCGCCCAGAGGGATGGTTGGATTCTTTCAGATGTCTCGGTCCTGAACTTCTATCCCTCCCTGTCATTAAGGAGGGGAATGAAAACACAGACACAATGAATCGTCGACTCCCAGAAAAAATTAGACACTATGGGAAGTGGGGGGAAGACAAAAACAGGGAAAATATAGGGAAATATGGGGAATCCTGTTATTTGTGTCTCTTTGTTTGTGTGTCCCAGGGCCCCTTCAAGTCCGCCCGCGGCACGGCCCGCTCCTCTGGCGCGCGGCTCGTGGGCCGAGGGCGGCCCTCTGGCGGCCCCTCCTTGCTGAGCAGCAGCGGGTGGGCACCATGGCCCCTTCCAGGCAGATCTGTGAGGAAAAAGAAAAGATATTCAAAACATATTAACATTGTCAAAAAATACCCAGAACTAAACAAACAGATTCGTCACTACTTGTCAAGATGCCAACAAAAAAATTTGGTTGGACAAATAAAAGATACCCAAAACATGTTCAAAACATTGTCAAACAAAAACTTGTTTCACAGGTCGCCCCCAGACTAACTATCTCTTGCCTGTGTCTGAACACTCCTCCTGTCGAGCGACACGCCCGACTTGAGCCTGTCAGCCAAGGGCTCAGGATGCTCCGGAGCTCGTCCCCGGGGGAGGGGCAGGACGTCGGGGGGCCGCGTTCCCCTTGCTGTGCTCCTCGCAGCCTGGGCCGGAGCACGCCCCCGGATGACATTCACCGTCTGCGGCGGTTGCCTCCGTGCCTCCCTCCTCCGAGGCGGCCCATCCTTGCCTCCCTCCTCCTTGCCTCCTCCTCCTTGCCTCCCTCCTCCTTGCCTCCTTGCCTCCCTCCTCCTTGGCTCACCATGGGCGTGAGATCTCGTGAGCATGGAGCCCCACATGTGTGGATTCCTGCGTGTGTGTATGTGTGTGTGTGGAACTCTCCACGTGTGCTGCATCCCGCGTGCCTGCGAAGAGCCCGGTGCGCGAAGCCCAGCGTGTATGGAGCGCCGTGGCCGTGAAGCCCCACATGTGTGCGTGTGCGTGCGTGTGTGTGTGCGTGTGTGTGCGTGTGTGTGTGTGTGTGTGTGTGTGCGTGTGTGTTCTTGTGTGTGTGCGTCTGTGTGTGCGTGTGTGTGTGTGTATGTGTGTGTGTGTGTGTGTGTGTCTGAGTTCGTGCGTGCGTTTGTGTGCGTGTGTGGAACCTCGTGGGCTATCACGGTCTGAGGAGGACGCCTTCCCTTGTCCCCATCTCCGCTGCCGCGCCCGGCCTCCTCTCCCCCCCCCTTTTCAATCAGTATCGTTTCACCAGTCCCCATCCCCATCCCCATCCACTTCGAGACCCCCACCAGATTACCACTCCAGTTGGGGCTGCGCCCCTTGAAAAACCCGAAGGGAACGACCTATTTTATATTCCCCATTCACGGGGATACATCGGCCAGTGGGGCCCAGACCACGCCGCCGGGGATGAGGATCGGTTAAACGATGCTCATTCACCTCTCGTGCTGTGCATGGACGTCCTGTTCCGTGGCCCTGTGCTGCCCGATCGAAACCTGCGCGAGTGCCAGGTCCGCCACAAAAATACCGTCTTAGTCGGGCCGCTGAAGAAGGGAGCCTTTTCTCTTTGGGGGGGGGGCTCAGTGTTCCTTGAGCGTTTTCAGGACGTTCTCAGGCTTTCTGCGGGACATCGATGTCTAAGTTGTGGAACAAAAAGGGGCCTCGTACCTCATGCAGGGCTCCTTAAGACAGTGTTTCGACTGTATGCCAGTCTGTCTGAGTGAAACTGCTGCGTGTGGAAGCGAGACGTTCTGCTGGGGCATGCCCTTCGCCAGACTCAGGCAGGCTGAGCATGATCTCGAAGGACTTCTGAAAGACTCGAACGTCGTTGCTCTATTCAACGACTTGCTGAAAGCAGAGACCACGCATTGCCTGGGCGTACTGCGCTCAGTTGATAATTCACAGCAGCGGAGGAGCAAGAGGTGTGCGGAAGCGGAAGCAGCTCACGGTCTACGTCTCTTCACGGCTTGTAGATTGGACCGCAGCAGTGCGGATACCATCCATGCGTTAGTCGTTCCGTGGTTTTGAGACATGACGAGTGGGAGCGTCAAGACGAACAACGCGAGACGAGGATGGACGAAGAAGACGACAAGGTGGCGGCATTGGGCCTTGAACGACGAGGAAGGTAATGAGAAAGAGAAGGACTCCGGTGAAGATGATAACAGGCGTGACCATGATGTTTAGGGTGAGGATGATGACCATGATCAGGAGGAGGGGGAAGATCACGAGGAGAAAGAGGGACACAACAGTGAGCTGAATGATGAGGGTGAGGATAAGAGGAGCGCTTGGAGGAATGGGGAGGAGGAGGAGGAGGAGGAGGAGGAGGAGGAAGAGGAGGAGGAGCAGGGACCAGAAGGAGGGGCGTGGTCAGGCTGAAGCACTGACTGTCAAGGGTCGCGGCTCCCCGACGGGTGGGGAGGCAACATTCACAGGTACAAGACCAAGGGTGGCCGGCCCGAGTTCCACAACGTCGACAGGACGCCGCAGTGTGTTCGCTTCGCTATCGTTGTCCTCCTCTATTTTCCTGTGCCCGGCTTGCCTACCACCGCGTCTTTTCCTCGTCTGTCCCCTCTCGCCGTGCGCTCCACCTCGGCTTCTCTCGTGCTGCTCGTTCTCGACATCGTCGACAGGATGTCGTCCATGTTCCCAATCTCTGCTTGCGCACAGGATTTTCATTCGGCTATTAGGCAGTTGGGTGGGTTCCCCTGGGGGTCCCCTGGTGGGCTGGTGTCCGCCGAGGTAGGCGCCTCGTGAGCGCCCGTTTCCTCGTCCCCCGCTCTCGCAGTGTCTCTCGCACGTTGTCCTCCGTCTCTATTTGCGGCCGGTGCCGCCGACCCTGGAGACGACGAAGATGCAAGGGAGGGGGGGGGGCAGGGGGAGGAGGAGAAGTGGCATAAGGAGGGGGAAGGGGTGCAGGAGCTGGACGAGGGAGGAGGAGGGGGGGAGGAGGAGGAGGAGGAAGAGGAGCAGGAGGAGGAGGAAGAAGAGGAGGAGGAGGAGGAGGAGGAAGAGGAGGAGGAAGAAGAGGAGGAGGAGGAGGTTTTATTCTTCTACTCCCCCTGCTCCTGTCCCTTTGCCTCCTCGTGCTCCCCCTATGCACATACGCACAATTCAGCTCCGGGGTCCCTGCGCCTCTCTGTCGGCCGCTGCCCGCCCGTGGGCTCCCCGCGCCTGCGGGGTAATTATGCCGAGCGGCTGCGCATCCGCCGGGCCGGAGACATACAAGCTTCGGCGGCGAGCGAGGGGGGGAGTGAGAATCGGGTTGACCCAAAAGGGGGTCCAGCGACAAGGGGGTGGTGCAATAGATTTGGTGCAATAGATTTGTGGGGTTGCAGTACACTTGGGGCGTGCACTACATTCCGGGGCGCAAATGGATTGCTGGATTTTCGCGTGCAAAACATTGGTTGCAGTACAATGCAGTACAATTCTCAGGCGCAATACGTTTGTAATACAATTGCCCCAAATCTATTGCACCACCCCCTTGCAGCTGGACCCCCTTTTGGGTCGCCCAGAGAGAAGGAGAAGGCCCTCCCAGAAGGCAGCGGGGCTTCTCAGAAGCCCTCGCGCCTTCTGAGAAGCTGTTGCTGTCTCCTGGGGAGGCTGAGAACACAGCCCAGGAGGCCGGGTGGCTTTCGAACCTTCTGAGAAGGCCTTGTCCTTCTCACTTCCCCCCCTTTGTTCGCCGCAGACAAATATCATGGCGCCAACATCGCAGATCGGATGTTGTTCGGAAAACGATAGGATGGGCCTGGGTTGTCCTGGAGAATCTCGTTCTGGAGTTCGAGGCGATGAAGACCAACAACACATCCGCGCGAAATTCATGTCGTTGTTCGCTCGCCGCTTCGGCCAAACATCCACGCATAAATCCATGCAGAAATCCACTGCAACACGTCTGCAAGGCTGGCGCAATGACAAATAATCAATATATTCAGTACCAATTCTTCGCTCGACCACATCAAGTCGAAGCGTGTTCAGGTCCACTTCGGTTTTACATCGTGTTCTGCGGCTTGCTAAAAAGTCCGATGAAGCCTCCCCGCAAATCATGTAATGGCCGTCGGCCCTTCCCGCCACCGTGCCTGGGTTGTGGGTCAATGTCCTCAGGGATGCTTCATGTGGTCTCTCTCTCGGTGGCCTCTTTGGGGCAGTTCGGGGGCTTCTTGGCAGCCTCCGAGGGGGCCTCTTGGGAGCCTCCGGGGGGCTATCTTAGGGTTTCTTGGGGTCCTTCTTGAGGCCTCCTGGGTGCTCTTGGTAGCCTCTTGGGGCCTCCTGGGGGTCTGCCCGGGGCCGAGAGCTCGAAATGTCGGTTCGGGTTCCCCGTCGGGCCTCCCTCTTGGGTGTATCTGGGGCCGTCTTGGGCGACGCTTGCGTCGTTTTGGGGCCATCTTTGGCTGTTTTGGGCCATTCTTGGAGGCCTCCTGGGCCGTTTCGGGGCGATTTTCGGGGTCTCTCTTGGGCTGCCCTGGAGTCAGGAAGCCGGACAGGCGAGAACACGATTTTCCAAAAACTTACAGGAAGCTAATGCTGTTGGTTCTTTGCGAGGCGTCTCGAAGGCCTCTTGGGCCGTCTCGGGGGCATCTTCGGTCATCTGGCGGCTGCCTTGGGCGTCTCGGCCCGAGTGTTCGACGCCCCGGGACCCTCCTCGGCCGTCTTCGGGGCCTCGCAGGGTCCTCTCGGCCCGTCTCGGGGCCCTTCTTGGCTACCCACATGCTCAGGCGACGCGCTCCAAGACGGCGCTCGGGAGCGCCCAGGAGCGCCGGGGCAAACTGGGGCCTTCGGCCCTTGAGAACCCTCGGAGAAACTCAGGGGCAACGACAGGGGGGGATAGGCATAGGTCAGAGCCCCGAATCATCAGGGGTAACTCGGGTCAGGGATAACTCGGGTTCGTTTCTCGGGAATCCAAACCCGAGTTACCCCGGACCCGAGTTACCCCGGATAACTCGGGCGTCCAGAGCCCCGAATCATCAGGGGTAACTCGGGTCAGGGCTAACTCGGGTTCCTTTTTCGGGAATCCAAACCCGAGTTACCCCGGACCCGAGTTACCCCGGATAACTCGGGCGCCCAAATAGGGGGGGAGTGCATCGACCCCCAATCGCCCATTGATCGACGGCAGGGGCCCGATAGCCCCAGCCTGCCCAGGAAGGCTCGAATTCACTATCGGGGGCCTATCGCCGATGCATCGGTTCGTTTTTCGGGGGAGCGTAAGACCCGGGTTTGCCAGGACTCGGGTTCGCCATCGTTTTTTGACGACCGCGATTCGGATTTTGACGAGGAGGAGTTTTGTGGGATGTCTGCAGCGGGAAGCCTCGTCAAAATGCAGGCTCGGCCTCGTCATTTTTTTGACGGCCTCGTCGGGGATTTCCGAGTCCCCCGTACCCAGGTCTTACGTCTCCCCGAGTTTTGGCAGGGCGGCACAGGAAAACAGGTCGAGAGCAACACGAAAACCACAGCGAACATGGAACGAGGAAAGCAACGTTTGGGTCCGGCCCTGACTGGGGTGTCTGAGGTCCCAAGGCCGTGCGGTGACGGGCCGTGCGGTGAGGTCTTGGGGGACTTCGAGGTCACCGCGCGGTCCGTCACCGCACCGCTTCGGGGCTGCATAGAGTAGTGTTCGCGGCCGCGACGGTAGAGGGAAACAATTACTGAACACGCCCCCTCCCCCCCACATTAGGGGGAGGGGGGAAGCGTTGACAGATGAATTTGGCATGAGTATTCGCTAATTTGTTCCGAGGCCGCGAGCGCGCTCGCTCGACCCCTTTGCCCGTCGGCTGAGCGGCGCGTGGGCCGCGCTCCTCCCTGGCAGCCCTCGCCCCTCGCCGTTGCCCTCGCGCGTCCTCGGGCCTCGCGCCGGCCCCCCCCCCTCCTTCCCCTCCTCCGGGCTTTGAGTCGGGCCTGTGCAGGAGGAATCTTCTTCAATGGTCAGAATACAGTCTGGGGACGATGTGTTGACTATTCTGACTGCGTTTGAATATGTTTTGGGGATTTTTGTTTATTTTCTCCTGCCCCTCTACAGGAGGAAGACTCCAAAATAGCCAGAAAATAACATGGGGCATTTCTTTATTATGTTTTACTGGTCGCCCAAACTCCGCCTGTAGGGGGACATGCCCGACCTAACTCTAGGCCTCCCAGATGGGGTTTGAGTAGATTGGGTCGGAGCACAGCGCCGCATCGCCGATGCATCGGCGATGCGGTCTGATGTGGGGTCCGATTTTCTCCGTGCCAAAGGCGCCGATGCATCGCCGACGTCGCCGGTGAGTCGGCGGTGCGGCGCGATCCTCCAACCCCATCTGCTCGGGCCCCACATGGGAGGCCTCTGCTCCCTCACACCCTCCTCCTCGGAGGAGGATGTTGACGACGCTCCGGCGCTCTGGCGGCGTCCCTCCTCTCTCTCCAGCCGTCGGCGGCGGCGGCTCGTCGTTGCTTTTGCTTTTGGCGGCGGCTCGCCTCGATTCGGCCTCGAGCGGCCGTCGCCGTTCTCCTGTTGGGCGCAGGGCGGATCGACGCGCCGCGAGGTCACGCGATTGGTCGGCGGAGCGGGCCGCTGCCCGGAGAAGCACTTGCGCCTTCTCGTCGCCATGTCCTCGCCTCCGCCGCCGTCACCCACGCCAGTCTCTCTCTCTCTCTCTGTCTCTCCTGCACTGCGGCTTCGAAGGCCGCATGGGCCGCAGGCCCTCGTTGCTAGGAAGCACGCCCATCGGTCGTTGAGAGTAGGTACTTCTGGAGTCCCAGATTCCAATGTACTTCAGCGCCTTACTTCAAGGATCCAGTAGCTTCACCTCTTCTGTCCTCACAAGGGGGCGGGCAGACACCCAATCTACTTTCAACGCCTTCCTACCTCATGTTTCGACCTACGTCCGACCGATGGGTAGTTTTGAAACCGGTTGTTGCTAATATCCGGCCCGTGGAACGCAGCAGAGGCCGAGGTTGTCGCCTGGTGCCCGCTGGTGGGCGCCCCCCCTGTGCCTCGCGCTGGAGGGCTGTGCCGAGGTTTCTCGTCCAGTGCCCGCCCGTGGGCGCCTCCCGGGCGTCCCGACGGCTTTCACCACGTAGGTTGCCCCACGTAGTTTATACCACGCAGCTAGCACCACGCACGTAGCCTACACCACAGACCTGGCACCACGCAGCTGGTGCCACGCAGATTGCACCAAGCAGATGGTGCAACATAGCCTGCACCGCGTAGCTTGCGCCACATAGCTTGCATCACAGAGCTTGCACCACAGAGCTTGCACAACATAGCTTTCACCACATAATTGCACCACATAGCTTAGCACATTCACAGCGCAAGAACTTAGTGGTTGAGATCCACGCTGGCCGACGCACACGCACACATGTATGTCGTCCAGTATCTTGTTACCCTCGTCTTTCTCGTCCTCGCCCCTCTCTCCTCGTCCGGTGTCCTCCTCCCCCCCTCCCCCCCCCATC